CTTCTGTGACTCAAGAGAAAGACCGACTGAATGCCAACCTCACTGGCATGAATGAAGAGCTGAACAGGCTTCGACAAAGTAAGTCCTCCGCTGCTTGTGAGATTGACTGTTTAGGGCTCTTTAAAATGTCAGCTTCCCCGTTCGCGGAAAAGCGGCTCAGTCGTTTCCGGTCTATTGAAATGGCCTTGTACTCTAGGTGCTTGCAGGTCTCGGCTCCAGGTAACAATTAATGATGTTCCTCCATCCAAAGCCCCAACAAAAAGCTGGAGAGCGACGAATATTTACCGTCTTCTTAATTCAGGATCGTTTGGACATCCATGAAAACTTAACAGCCCATTATATTTGGAAGACAACAATGTTCATGGTTTTGCTTTACTTGCTTCTGAAATATGACTTTGTCTTTTCTGGCTGTCATGGTAACTCAAAGCGAAGCAAGACAGCCGCATTTCGCTCATGCGGATGTGACGTCTGTGGCGTTTGTGCAAAGAGCCCCAAAAACAATCTGTTTTTATTTATTTATTTGACTTAATGTAAAATTTGTCACTAAAACCATGTAATAAAAGTTTGAGAAAATGTCTTTATTGACGTAAGACAGCATCTCAAAAATATTGACAGAGCTTCACTTTTTTTTGACACTGTTATGTTTCAGCCTCATTGATACTAATTAACTAATTACTCACACACAAATACCCCATTATAAAAATGCGGAAAAACGTTTCAGAGGGTTTTACAGATTTACTAAAATTAGAAAACAAAAAGATCCTATTTGTGCTTTAGAAAGGTTTATCTTCAGCATTTGATATCGGCCAGAAAAAGAGGAAAATGTGTAATTCTGGATGTTTCTTTCAGAGGAGGGATGTCCTGCAGGTTGGACGAGGTTCTACGGTTCTTGTTATCTTGCGTATGGATGCGGTACCTGGGATAAAGCCAGAGAATACTGCGTGAAGAAAAACGCCCATCTGGTGGTGATAAACAGCGCAGAAGAACAGGTGCTGTGTTCTGTTGAAAAGAATGTTTTCTTATGCATATGACACTTATTCACACTTTTTGTTCCATGTTCTTTCAAAAAAATGTTGATTGACTATTTGATTGTTTGGAAATTTCCAAGAATAGTCTACAGCACTTTAGACTGCAGGCAGTTATTCCCCGATCTCCCCTGATTTGAATTTCTTCCTGACTTTTCAGGAGAGTGACGCAGTACGTCGGACACACACGCATGCAAGCACACACACACACACACACACACACACACACACACACACACACACACACACACACACACAACACAACACACACCACACACACACATACAACACATACACACACACACACACACACACGCACAGGCACACGCATGCACACACACACACACACACACACACACACACACGCATGCACACACACACACGCACGCACATTCTCTAATGATAAAAACATGCATTATCGCAAAACACAGTCATAATACTCAAATATAATTTTGCACGTAGATGTTTTTCAGGTCTTATGCCGTCTTGATAGATCTAATCATTTACTACATAAAATTTTGCACTGAAAATATATTTGTGTATTGACAGTCTGCAAAAGCTTCAGAAGACTAAAGTTTTTTTCTTGGTAAAGAAGAATTCACTGGGATTACAGATGATTTCCTGCAATAAAAAATAGATTTATTATTTATTTGTTTATTTATTTATTTATTTATTTATATTTATTTATCCATTTCTTTTATTATTATGGTAAAAAAAAAAGTTATTTAATATAAATAACTGCAATCATATTGAATATAGAATAAAATTAAATATAATAGATTTATATTTTTTGTAATTAATATTGACATAATTTACATTAACTTGGTCATTTAATATAAACTCAGTCTGTGGTACTATTAAATTGCATAAAAATCTCACTAATGAACATTTTTCAAATAGATTTCTGATGGACTGCGCATTTAATTAAATTGCAAAATGTTTGATTTTGTTTGTTTTAAATCAAACATGATTCTCCGCTCAGAGTGTCTGTCTGTCAGGAGGCGGCATGAGCTACAACTCGAGTCGTGCCTGACTTTCTTTTTTTCTTTTTTTTTACTACTTCCTGTTTTAGTTGTCGAGGAATTGTCTCTTTCTGTGATTCACAGTTTTTAGGAAATTTTGATCAACTACAGCTGAAAATTTAAAATGTGTAGCCTAATCTAAGGTGGACATGATCCAAGATCTAAGATTTGTTGAAACACATTTAGAGAAGAATAAAATCTATACATAACATGTAAAAATACAACAACAAAAAACATTTTAATGTCTTTTTTTAGTTTTAGAAGCAGATAAGATTGAGTGAGGTAAAAGAAAAACTGCAAACACCAACTAAGTATTTGCATAAGTAGTATAATATTTATAAATAAAAGGATGGAAAAAGGTACCATTTGTGCATCAAATGCTCACCTCTAAACTGCATGCAAAGAAATGTAGTTCAAACTAATTTTATTTTTTGTACATTTGGCAGAACTTTGTGGCTTCGTATGCTGAGGATTCAGTTTGGATTGGTTTGACTGACAAACAAACTGAGGGAACCTGGGAGTGGGTCGATGGATCTCCTCTGACTCTCAAGTAACTTTTATTCCTCTGTTTCTTTCGATTTTCATTGTTGACCGTCACATGTTAAAAATGTGGATTCTTCTGAGTTTACACTTTGACTTGTGTTTTGAGGAATATTTGACGTGTGAGGACAATAAAAAATTTTTACATTTTTAATAAATATTTCTTTTTGGATAATTGTTTTTTTTGTTTTGCCTAGTCTGTAAGAAAAGGCTAAATAAATAAGTTTGCTTCATTTCAAGCATGCTGTTTAAGGCTGTGAGCTTTAAATCGTACTCTTGAGCAAGAATTAACCGCAGTAGATTGTTCAACAATCTACACGAATGAGCTAATGCACTACACATTAAAAATGTGCACACATCTGTTCAATAAGACGATGTCGATTAGCTTCAGATTAGCTCAGAAACTTGCAATTTCATGAAATGGGTCTCTGTGGCCGAGCAATCTAAGACTCGGACCACAAAGGTATTTTGTTATTTATGCTGTGAGTCACTAAAGTAATTCCTTTTTTGTTTGTTTTGTTGATTGTAACATAACATTAGGTGATTACGGCGGTTCTCTTTTCTTTAATGTTCAGGTTCTGGGTGGAGAATCAACCTGATAATGGCGGTAAAGTCTATGGGGCTGCAGAGGAGGACTGCGCGCACATCAGAACCGATGACGTCTGGAACGACCTTCCATGTTCTCAATCTCTGAACTGGATCTGTGAAAAAGAAATGACATAGATGATACACATAAGCATTTCTAACTGCTTTCCATTACAGGCCAATATGCCATTTTGATCTGTTATTAAATAGATGCAGCTTTTTCAAGCATATTGTTCAATTTTGTATATAACATGTTACATATATGCTGTTATTAATCAAAAACATTTCTTAAGAAACCTGCATAATGCTTGATCCATAAAAAAACAAAATATCACAAATCAGCAATTTGTTGAAGCGTTTAAGTCTAAATATTTGAACTATTGAACTGTTAAGCTATTAATATGATTAGTTTTTCAAAAACAATCTAACATTCATTCTGCATTCAATCATAATGTCTCCTCTGCTCTGATTTATCTCTTTGGTGGCATTAAACAGATGCATGTTGTAGCAACACGAGTCTTTTACAGAAAGTTACTACTTCAAGTCGGAAGATTAAATCTGCTCGTGTTATTTTTTAACTTTGAATGCAACGCTTGCTTTTTCAGAATTGTCCAATGAAAAATATGTATATGTATATGACAAAGAAATATGCATTTCTTTGTCATATGCAATAATATTTCTGTCGAATGCATCTTCTTCCATTCCCAATAATAAACAAAATCTGCTTTAAAAAAAAATCTATACCTTTAATCTCAATTACCTTAAAAACATGTTTACCTTACAGGAATATTTTCTTCAACACTGGCCTCTAAAACGTTTCGAAATGTTGAAAATTTTCAATGATTTTTTTTTTCTCTTTAATTTTTTGTCTTTTTTTAAAATATATTTTCTAAGTGTGTGTCTGGAGGTCTGTCTGTGCCCCTCAATGATATTTAATAACAGTTTAGCTAAATGAGCTGCTCCAGCTGCCCTCCGTCAAATAATGACCTTTAACCGATTCTCATCCTCTGTCCTTACGGTGACGTTTCATCTCTTTGCTCTCAAAACTTGTAACGCTTACAAACTTCTGCTCTCTCCCAAACTCTCTGTGCTCTCTCAACTCTTCACCACATTTATCCTCAGTTGTTCCCGACTCTGTGGGTAGAAAGAGGTGCGTTGAACCGGGCCCTTTTCCTGTCGATTCATTGGGCAAGAATATTTTTTTTCATCATAGACCTGTTTGTGAAATAAAACCCAAGTCCAACATGGGGAGAAAAGATCAAAACTGGACCATTTAGACTGAGCTCATATACTTGGATTTTGGCAGAAAAAATTTTGGCAGAAAAAATAAATAAATCTTGATTTGGTTTTCATTTTGCTTCTTCTGTGATGGTGACGGTGCCATCCTCTCTCTGCACAAACTCCACCAGATAGACAAATTTGTTTTCAAGTAATATTTCCTTTCGTGTAAATCTTTTAGTAGTTCACAACATAAAACTGATGCAAAAAAAAAAAAAAAATCTGCCTTCTTGTCTTTGTCTCTGTTCACGACTTGTGTGAATTAAATGTGAGGAGCTCAGAGTTCATTCGTCTGTTCGCACGAGCAAAACCGGACGCACACAGTTTGTGCAGATGGACTTGGGCCTCTTTTTTTTTTTTCTTTCTTTTTCGCACCTGTTGTGTTGGTGGGTGAACAGCTCAGACCCGCTTAAAATAGGTGCCAAAGTTTTGGTTCAAACTTTTATTCTGTGCGACTTCCTTCCTCAAACTTTGATCTAAATGCCCTGCAGTGCCACAACCGCACTTTCATAGCACTCAGTTTAGCTGCTGGTTGCAGATCTGGCTGGAAAGAAAATATTCTGCTCCCCTTTCAAGCAATGGAGGATATATATACTAATGTTGAAAGTGTCAAATCTGTTCCGCACATTTTTGCACCAAATTACCCAGGTAAGGATGACACAACCTACAGATACAAACATGTTTTGTCATTATTTTTCAGTGGAACTCATCTATTTTTTTAAAAACTTTGCTCAGGTTCAAGCAGCTCTGACAAGAGGCTCTATTTAGGTATCATTATTGCTTTTGGGCTCCTTAATGTTTCCCTCCTGGCTGGACTGGTCGTCCTTGGTGTCTACTGTGAGTCCCACTGCCTTTCGCCTAATTATGGACAAAGTGAACATTTTGCTGCTGTCCTTTGGATTTCTTCAGCCTCTTTGGATTAAAACTAGTCAAAATGACTACCGTTAGAAAAGGCATGTTTCACCAGTTCAGTGGTGGAAACTATTTAAGATGTGAAAGTTAACAACGGAAGAACAGCTTGTTTCCAGATTGAACATTTCTGATAAGTAAGAGCTGCAAGGACACGCTGCAAAAGCATCGCCTCTGTAGCAGAAGCTTACTTTTTTAAATTGTTTTAAAAGAGGCTAAAGTCATACCAAACTCAATCTATGCTGTTCTCCATTTCTTTCTTTGTACTGGTTGCTAATTTCCTGAAACTATCTTCCAGAATGACATAAAGTGGGACTTTAGCTTAAATATTATAAGTTTGCTCTTATTTACTTGATGTATGTTTTTGGGGTTTTTTAACAACATATTCTGCTGCTAATAGATCATAACACAAGTGATACGGCAGCAAGTCTGACTGAATGTCAGCAGGATGGAAATAACACGACGTCATTTCTGATTGAGGAACGAGACCTGCTGAATGCCAGCCTCACTGCAATTACTCAAGAGCTGATGAAGCTTCGAGGTTTGTCCAGACAGCTTCATTTTGACCAGGAGTCGTGTTCTGGTGCTGGACGGCGAGGCTTATTGGTGACGCAAACCATTTTTTGACTCATGAGGAACTGTCGATTAATGTCTTGTTAGATCAAATTTATTCGTGTTGAAGTCTGCAGCGATGGCATAGAGAAGCAACTTTAATCTGATTACTGGATTTGAAAAAGTAACCAGGTAGATTACTCGATACCGAAAAAAGTGTCCCGACTGTAATGCGTTGCTGACGACACTGGTTGTCTGGTCACCTTGAACCAGAGCCAGAGGACGCAGGAATGAAGATGGCGGCGTCAAACCAGAACGGGGAAGAGAAACGGTCCAAACAAAGTCCGGTGCGGGATGCAAAGTGCACTTGATGCGGTTCTGTTTTGAAATACAAACAGCCGACAAACTCCTTCAAACACTTTCATTCAGTCAATTATGTTAAAAGATGTAGCGCGCTAACCCCCTGTGCACCCCACATTTGGAGGCCTCAGTCGTCAACGCGGACGTTGCGGGTTCGACTCCCGGGCCCGGCGACCTTTGCCGCATGTCTTACCCTCTTTCCTGTATCTCTACTGTCAAAAAATGCGAGCCACTAGTGCCTCAAAAACTCTTTGGAGAAAAAATAATGTATGAGCTAATAGCTTCATGTTTTGTAATATTTTATGTTTACGTTTAGAAAGGTGACAAAACCACATTTTCTGCTTATTTAGTCAGTATTTAATAGAACGGACACTAAATACAGATTTTTTTTAGCATATTATGAAATTTTAGTTATTCGTGTTGTTGAAAGACTGTCAGCCCTCTTGACACAAGAGAAAACTCTGTTTTTTATTCCTCTAGAGTCAACATGTCCTACAGGATGGACGACGTTCAGCGGTTCCTGTTACTATTTCTCTAACGAAGCCGGTTCCTGGGATGAAGGCAGGAGGGACTGCGTTCACAGAGGAGCAGATCTGCTAGTGATGAACAATGCTGAGGAGAAGGTGCTGCGTTCTTTATACTAGTCAGATACATTTTGTTTGTGTGCAAAATAAGTAAGTTTCTTAAATCATTAAGTATGTGTCATATGCTCTTATATTGGAATAAAAATAGTAATGCAAGGATTCACCCTCTTGAATCTTCAACATTTTTGTAAATGTCAGGGTGTAATTTTAGCTTTAGTGTCATTGACACTTAAACAAAAGTAGCACATAACTGTGAAGTGTCAGTGAAGCGATTCATTGTTTCCTCATTTCTTCGCAACTAAAATCTTAAATGTGCAGCGTAGCTACGTTTGTAATCAGAGTTGATTCTTTGCAGAGCTAATCGTTTGCTCCAATTACAGCTGCAGGTCTTTTGAGGTACATCTACCAGATTTAGACAATTATAGACAGAAAAGGACATATGTGTATCACTGACCAGTCTGCTGTGTTTCTTGTTTGTTCACTAAATGTCCGAAAAACCACTGAGATTAAATTACACAGAGGTTGAGGATTATGAGAGCATTAGGGGCGAAGCTGTTCAGTTGTTTTTTGTCAGGTATCATTTCTCTTTTCCTTCACAGTGCATCATGTGTTAGATCAAGACCAGAAAATAAGGCTGTTTTAATGTTTTAAAGTCAGTCAATTAGGTCTGGTCTTAAAATTAGTATAAATACATAAATACAAAGAGGGAAAAAAGACACACAAATAAGGTTTGCTCCTATGTTTTACACAGTTATTTGTAGGCAGTATTTGGCTTACAAGTCATAAACGTTTCATACACATTACATAGTTTTGTGCCTTATTTGACAGACATTCCTGGTTGCTCTCATCAAGAAGGAAGCTTGGATTGGTTTAAATGATAAAGAAACCGAAGGTTCCTGGAAATGGGTTGATGGATCCTCCCTGGAGTTCAAGTAAGAGATCAGACATTTGATTCAGTGCTGAGAGGCACAAACAGAGACATGTGGTTTTATTTCTGTGTTTTAATCTCAGCTGTATGTTTGTGTCTGTCGTTGTCACGTATGAAACGTGGTCTAATTCTGTGACAAATTTAACAGGAACTGGCTTGGCTCTCAGCCTGATAATGGAGGGACAAGCGGAAGATGGGGCGAGGAGGATTGTGTTCATGTCAATAACAACGGCGAAGCGTCTTGGAATGATTTGTCATGTGATGCTGCTGAACACTGGATCTGTGAAAAAGTCCTGAAATTCACTGTTTGAAAAAAAGGCCTCTAGAAATAATGTTTTTGATTTTATTCTTGAGTTTTAAGTATCCCATATCTAAAAACAAAGCTTTTATAAAGTGCTTTAATAGTCCTGCTTCTAGTTACAATGGATTTAAATTACAATAAACTCTATTTTCTGCTTTCTGCATGTTCACTGTTTATTGCAATTTACAAAGTCAAAAAAAAAGAGGCAATTTGTACACAGTAACCCACCCGCAGTATTAACTGTGATTTCATAGACACCTTTATGTGAAATTAAGTGAGTGTAATTTGCAAGGTAAAGCAACATCTCAGAGGAAGTATTCAAGTTATTTCACAGTGTGACAGAGATCAGAGTCTGCCATCTGCTGCAGTCTAATATATGATTTTTTTTTGTTTTTTAGGTAAATTAAGGATCTTTTTGAAACTATTCAGCGTCTCTCTGGCTGCTCGGTGTTAATCCCTCTCACTGGTTTATAGTCTTGCGCAACTAATTTCAACTCTGAATAATATCCATCCTTCTCAGAATTGCAACTTCCTCAAACTCAGTTTAGCAGTTCTCAGATATTTCTGGTTTGGCGGCAGATCGGAGAGTCTACAAAACGTTCAGCATCTGTCAAAGCAATGGAGGAAATTTATATGAATGTTGATCCTGAGAAAAGTGACTGGCAAATTCCTGTTGCAAAGAATGAAGGTAAGAACAACAGGAGAAAGAGAAGCATGAATATATTTTGTTGTAGAAATGAAATGAATGTATTTCCTTTGTGAAGGTTCTGGCGGCTCTAAGAAGAAGCTCTATGTGGGTGTCATCATCTTTCTGGGGCTTCTGAATGTTTTCCTGCTGATTGGACTCATCAGTCTTGGTGTTTTCTGTGAGTTTTGTTGTCTCATATTTAACTGAGTCTGTTCTGCTTTATCCTTAAAGGCAGAAAATAAAAATATTGTCATCAAAATCCAGAATGGTCGAATCACTCTCAGCATTAAAACCAACTTTCTAAGTTAAAGTTAAATGAGTATATCTTATTAAGCTTTTCTGTTTTTCTCTAATAATGTGCTTTAATTACTTTTAGCTCATGATGTCGGCGGCTTGGCAGCAGATTTCACCAATGACAATCTGACTGATCGTCTCCAGGACAGTGATGACCGGCTTTCTGTAATGACCGAGAAAGAGACCGTCTGAAAGCAAACCTCACAGAAATGATCAGGCTCCAGAGTTTGTTGAAGAAAAGTAAGTCTTCAGGTGTTTGTGAGAAAAACTTCTTTTCTAAAAGACAGAAGATCCTTTTGATACCATCTTTGGTGTAAGTTCCTTCCTGCAGAGTTTCACTCTCAATCTGTGGGTTTTTATGTTTATTTAACTGTTACTAAAAACCCTGGATCCTCAAAATAATATAATTTATAGTTCAAATATTAATGACTTTACAAATGGGCGATTATGCAACATTGACTTTCTGTTACCATCATAATTAGTAGGCAGTGTTAAAAAACAGCTAAATAATCTTTTATCTTTTAGAGAAAACATGTCCTGCAGGATGGAGCATGTTCAGCTGTTCTTGTTATTTCCTCTCTACATCATCTGGATCCTGGGATGAAGCCAGAACAGACTGCATGAACAGAGGAGGAGATCTGGTGGTGATAGACGACGATGATGAACAGGTGATGTAATCTTTCAGTGGGACATCATTCATTTATGTCTGCAAATGAAATTCATGTCTTTCTTTCATAGCTAAAGTTTAATAAAGATATTTTTTTATGAAGATAATTAGAAAAACGTTACTGTTTAATATTTAGGTGAATAAATTCTAAAACCTTTAATAGAAATGTTCTTTACCTTGTTTTTGTCATGGCATGTTATAAAACAAGCAACTGCTGTACTGAAATCTTAATGTTTTTTCTACAATATTGACAGAATTTACTTTCTAAAATCATCAAAAAAGAAACATGGATTGGTTTGAATGATAAAGAAACTGAAGGATCCTGGAAGTGGGTTGATGACACTCCGCTCACTCAAGCGTGAGTTTCACACTTTATTTCTTATTCTTGCTAAAAAAAACAAACTGCTTTTACTATTCAAAATCTCACTAACATGTAAAAGATTAGACAGGATTTACACATAATGGCAGCTTTGAGACATAAAATTACACAAAAAAAATATGTAAGAGTTATAATTTCCCACATTAGGAAAATGAGTAAAACATTTGTTCTTCTGAAAAGCTCAACTTATCCAATAAGCATTTGATCCCCCACTGACTTTAAAAATGTTATACTGAAAAACAAGTGAAACGTCTCATAATATTATACCAGATTTATTTTAACAATGAAAGAGCCTCTAAAGACATCAGCGCTATATTTTTCTTATTGTGAACTGCTAACGTTCAAAAACTCGAGAGTCCAATGTGTTTGAGTTGTGACATCTAAGTTTGCAGTTTTGTTCTTTAAGAAAACATTTTGAATGATTGTGTCTCAATGTTTTCTTCATCTGATTGCTTCCTAACGTCTAAATCTGAGGACACAAGACAATACCGGTTTAATAACCATAATTACATCTCCGTCACAAACCTAATTATTGGAGGCTAGAAATGATTCAAATTAAATTTTAAAGCTTTTTATTCTTTATTCCAGGTTCTGGCGCTTCGATCAGCCTGATAACGGTGGTGGAGACCCAGAGTGGGGTGAGGAGGACTGTGTGCATTTCACGTTGCATGACGGCGCAACTTGGAATGATATTTCATGTAATGCTACCAAACATTGGATTTGTGAAAAAATACCAACCAATCAGTTCTGAAAATGATTTATTTATTCTTCGGCAACCAAGCAGACATAACTGTGTAACTCGCCTGTTACAAAAGTGCAAACATTGAACTGTGTTGACAGACACAAGTGTTTTTTTCCCTCCATCAACAGAAAAAGTATTTTCACTTTGCTTACTTTGCTAGCTCAGTTAAGATGATGAAGTGTTTAGTTTGCTAGAAGTCACTTGCTGCTCCATTTCATTATGTGCATAAATAAAAGTTCTTTGTTGCTGATTGAATTCTGACTTGCAGAGCTCCACACATATATTTTCTCTTTTATATATAGAAGATAAAGTGCGTTCTGGTTTTCAGATTATGGATCTTTCCTTATCTTGAACATTTAGTGGAAATGCATCTTTAAAAGGTGTTTGTGAACACAGAGTGAGGCACAGTAACCGTTTGGGTTCTTGTTGCTCTGGCTGAAATCAGATACACAAGCCCTCAAATGTAGAAATTATCAAATGAAACAGAATTTGAAACTGACTTTGGAACAAACAATTTACTTCATGTTCACATTGAATATATGAGTTCTGCATCGGAAAATGTGCTGAAGTCAGTTTGGTGTTATTTCCACATTGGAGTCAAAAATGTAACAGCGCTGACAGGTCTACAGTCTATCAGTAACAGATTTACCCAAAGGTGGATTTATTTATTAAAGATAATTTAAGCATTTTTTCTCTAATGTTCACTGGGAATCATTTTCTTCAAAGGTTATTCCTGCAGTAATAGAATTACAGAGTAATGGACAAAAAAACAGATTTAAACTGTGAAAGATTACAATATAATAAGGTGCTTGGTTTGTGTTGTCTATTATTTTACACTGTAACAAATTATATATCAGTGTTTCCTAATCCTGGTCCTCAAAGCACACTGCCCTGCATGTTTTAGATGTTTCCTCGTTCAGCAAGTTATTTCAACAGACAAGTATAGTAAAGCAGGGAAACATCTAAAACATGCAGGGCAGTGTCCCTTGAGGAACAGGGTGAGGAAAAACTATTGCATTAAAATCCTTAACAAGATAATATAAAAACATTTTATAAATTTCCCTCTGTAGATGTTGCTCTTTCCAGTTTCATCAGGGACTCAGAACCTTAAACATGCTAAAGGAAATTAACATCCAAATTTGAAAAGTTTAAAACTGGGAGCTTTAATGTGGATGAGCATTAGCTGTCTTCAATAAAGTCTTTTTAAAAGTTTACAGAACCTCAATTCAAGACTATCTGGACTAAAAAACATACTAACAAAATGATCTTGTTTGCTGCAGGAGATTCTCACAAACTTATGAGACATCTTGTGGTTATTTTTATAAATGAACACAAACCTTTTGCTTATTTTTAGCTGCAAAGTGAGACAGACACTTGCATCTCAGAGCTCAATTTACGTTCCTTATTTTAACCATTTATGGTCAAGAAAGAGAGAAAGAGTGAAGCAATGGTGGAGGGGTAAAAAACGACTCAAATATGGAGGCCTTAGCATTCGACTGATGAGGATCAACATGCTAAGATGGAGGGAGGGAGTCAGAGAACCTGAAGAGACAAAGAAAGACACTTCCAGAATCTGCAAGTTTATTATTTAATTGTCTTTTCAATACCTTGGATAATTCCTGGACCTGCATAGACAGGGAGGAACATTAAAGAATAACTAGACCTAAGAAACATAATGAAACTAGAGTAACAAGGAATAACTAGAGACAGGACTTTAATTGTGTTTAAAAGCCACAAAGAATCACAAGATACAGGTCCAACTTTTCAAGTTAATGTCATACAACATTTTCCAATACCATCATCACCATGGACAGTAACCAGTACAGTAACCAGTACAGTGACCACTACAGTAACCAGTACAGTAACCAGTACAGTAACCAGTACAGTGACCAGTACAGTAACCAGTACAGTAACCAGTACAGTAACCAATACAGTAACCAGTACAGTAACCAGTACAATGACCAGTTTTAATAAACACAGAACAGAGGTTTAAATAACTTCAATTATTCCATCAAAATGGCTTGTGTGCCACACATGCTATTGATGCTCTGTAATGAATTTATTAATAGAAATGTAAAATGATTTATTACAGAGATAAGGTTTAACAAACGGAGTAAACCTTAATCCTATTAACACTCAAAGGACTAAAGAGGATGAAGTGCCGCCCCCAGCAATGAAACAAAAATAACCAAACAGTCTAAAATGAATTGAAAATAAAAACACTGATGGAGCACTGAACCTCCCAAATACAAGTCAGTCTAAAGTGATTAGAGCCAATCAAGAGCAGTCAGACTGTGAGGCAGAACAAAAGGCCATAAAGGCATTAAATGTGACCACAATATAACAACTTTGTTCTGAAAATATTACGTTTTTTTAGTTTGACTATTGTATAATAATATTATAACTTTATGGCCCTAAAATTCTAGTGAGGGTCAAACCCAGAAATACAAAAATGATACAGACAAAAGCAACAGTATCTATAGAGATCCAATATTTAGATGGTTTTCAGGAAATAGTTTTCAGCAATAACTCACTGCAGGAAGGTTTTCCACCTAAACAGAAGCACCAGGCCAAAATAAACTTGTTTGTAAAGAAAAAACCTGAAATAACCAGGAAATGGAAAATTGTGATAAAATAAACACTTTGATTAAACACTGCAGTTATTTTTAACACAACTTTGTTTCTCATTGAAAGTAAAGAAATTGAATCCTTAAAATACAGGAAGTTGTGTTAATTCAAACTGTGTAAATTATTTATTTATCTTCTGGTTCCAAAGACATTTACTGTATATCCACTTGCAATGTTGAACATCAAAACTTAAAAGCAACATTTTCTTTTTGTTTGTTGTGAAACATAATCTGATTATAACTCTCTTGTTTACAGACTTTCTAAGTTCTGGGGAAACGGCCAGCCTGATAATGCTGGTGGAGTTGAAGCTTGTGCACAGATCTGGAATAACTACAAGACATGGAATGATGATCAATGTAATGCTTTTTTCCCGTGGATCTGTGAAAAGGATCCAATGTAACAATGGCTAAATATTAATTGTTGCTTTCCACTTTAGACTAAGTTTAAGCTTTATGCTTTATACTCCACTGCAGTTACCTGAAAATGTTTAGTACTGTGTATTAAAGATACATATGGAGGCTTTTCAGACTGAAAATGTGTGCTATTGAATTATGCAAAAAGAAAAATTACCCTGTAGACACAGTGCCTTTAAATAATAATAATAATAAAATAATACATTTATAGATTAGTTTTAAATGTAATTTCTTTAACATAAAAGCTTCTTAAATGTGGATCTACAGCCTGTTGTTGTCTGCTTCATTGTAAAGCCTGTTGAAATAAATCCTGTCATCTGTAACATCCAGCAGTGTGTGAACATCCATAGAAAGGCCTGATT